TGGTGGGTGGGTGGGGCAGGGCAGGGGGTGGGGCATGTGTGGGTGGAGCATGGTGGGTGGGTAGGGCAGGGGGTGGGGTTTGTGTGGGTGGAGCATGGTGGGTGGGTGGGGCAGGACAGGGGGTGGGAAATGTAGGCGGAGCAATGTAGGTGGGTGGGGCACATGGGCAATGCATGGTATGTAGGTGGGGCATTGGATGATCAAGACTATAACAAATACTCTTTAATTGTGGAATTTGTGCCATTTGGGCAAGAAACTAATTTCAGTTTTATCTGTTACATCTGAAAATGAAGCTAAACAAGTGCTCAGTGGAGTGTTAAATTATTGGCGATGTTATCATTAATGTCAGTGTTGTCATTTCAGTGAGGTTTTCCCCCATGGTAACAAGATGCCCCTGACCAATGTGCCTGTGGGGGTGGCTGGCCCTGTGCCCAGGTACATAGAGCTTGCTTCTGTATACACACACACACACATGCTGAAACTTGCACAACCACACCACTCCCATAATGAACAGAGGTGTTACCATTTTAATTTTGATTACATTTTGTTTTGTGTTAGAATAGACAGTTTCATTACATAGTTTCATTGGTATAAGTCATGTCATAGCTTTTAATCAATTAATGAATTTCTTTTTTTCTTTATTAATTTTATTCACTTATTTATTTATTTCTATTTCAGAGAAAAAAGAGAGCAGGAGTTGGACTTTTTCCTGAATAAAAAATACAACAGACTGGGTTCTAAGATCCAGAGTCGTGTGGACACCATGAGTAAACTAACCACCAAACCAGAGCTGATTTTAAAGTGAAAGAGATTTTTATACCTGGGTCTCCAGACCAAACAAAGATAAACTGACCACCAAACCAGAGCTGATTTCGAAGAGAACAAGATTTTTATACCTAGGTCTCAAGAACAAACAAAGAAGATAAAAAAAACACCAAACTGAAGCTCATTTGGAAGTGAGAGAGATTTTTATACATGGATTTTAAGATCCATCTAATAAAATAAAAGATTTTATTTCCTATTGAAAATGATCAGTGATCTGAAGGTGTGAATACAGAGAATTCCAGGATATATTTAGCTACCAATTGTGAGGATTCATTCTGTTGAACCAGCAGAAGCTGATTTCATACTAACTGAAGACGGGTGGCATTCGTGTCTGGGAGGTGTGTGACTGCTAAGAGTTCAGCATTAATGGCTACATGGGGGGG